AGAGAGCAGCTGCTGTAAAATTCTACGCAGGAAATCGACTTGGGAGTAATCGTGCTGGACGACCTTGGCTGCTCAAAACAGGCCGAAAAGGCATCAAGAAGATGCAGTCAGCAGTTTAGCCTCCTACGAAAGGCGTTTGCGAACTTTGAGCCATCAATCTTCATACAAACGCTGAATGCCACAGGTGCAATATACGATCTAGGCGTGGCGACTTTGGCGCAAACGAGAGGCTGCTGCGCTCGAAGCCCCACAAATTAAGGCTAGGTACATCGTTGGAGGACTGTTTCACCTCTCCTACCAGCGCAGACTGCAAGCGCTAGGTTAGTACAGCGGTGAAAATCGACGCTTACTTGGATACCTTATAATGGTGTACCAAATATTGGATAACCCAAAGTACAAATGTCGCGATCTGCTGAAAGTGAGCCGCAGTATCAATCTAAGAGGCCACCAGCTCAAACTGGCCGCACACTGCAGTCGACTTGATTGCAGACAAAGCGTTTTCCCCTTCGTGGAACCCTCTTCCTTCCCATGTTATTTTCGCTTCCACATTAACGCCATGTAAAAAAGCGATTGGGCCACACTCTATCCCATTTACATTACATGACATAGTCTGTTCCCATCGAAAGACGAATTAACGCGAACAGTGGGCTCACCGGGCCTCTCGATTACTTAGCGGTGAGCAGACCAGCACATAGGTTACGGTGAATAACTAGGTGAGTCATCTCAAACCTCTTTCTCATATAAATGTCTAGTGAGCCATGAGCGAGGCCACCCGGGACCACCACAGAAGCGACGACGGGTCCTGCAGAGAACGTAGGCAGAACCGGCGCAGCATTTGTAGGTACGCTGCATTCGATTTACTAACCGCGTGCTTACATGCTCAGTCTATTTATTTCAGGTGGTGGGTTTCCAATTTTGCCTTAATGCTTTTCTTTCTCATATAAATGTCTACCTGTACTCTATTCCATTAACTTGCACACCTCGCTTAAGCCAATTGTATTCGATTTCCGTAACATTTTTGTGTTCGTGGCATTTCCGTCAAATATACTTTCTGACCTTGTGAACTTATCTCGGATTTGTTCTTAAACAACTTATTCCATGTGCTCAGTAGTTAGGATTTATGTCACCGTTTCCTTATGCATTACTCGATTTATTTTCTTTGTATCTTTCTCTCAAGTGATTGGCTGTTGCTTGATATCACCGGTGTGGATGCACTTTATGTGCATGTTGACAAGGCGCCTACCTGTCTATTACCCATTACCTCGTCCATACTGGCTCCCGGAGACAGTTGGTCCTTGTTGGAGGGGACGGGGTGCACGGTCCTTGTGGTAGTGTTAGAATCAAAGAGTGGGTCCGTGCACTTAGTGTGGAGCGGACTACTGTCCAGCCACCGCATTGTGTACGCTTGATTCCCCAAATACAACGTGCTTGTGTTTGCCTGTGAATGAGTGTGGGTCGGCTCCGTTGATGAAACGTGGCTCTCATCCACATGCCTCTGGGTCTTATTCCTTTCGATTTGCACTGGATATGGGGTACGTGGTTGGAGCTGTGGGTGGTGCAGCGCAATTTGTGCTTGGTCCCTCTGTAGGCGCAGGCGTCCTGTGGCTGGCCACAGTGACAGGTAAATCCGAAACCGGATGCCGCCAACCATCTCAAACCAGAATTAGCCCTAATTTCTTTCACTTTAGACAATCATTTTATAGTCCCCATTCCTGTTATCATACGGGACTAGTTATGCAATGCGTTTCTACCCGTTGTAAATCATTGTTCAGTGTTTACCTTTCACCGGCTTCAATTACTGCTAGCAAAAGAGACAGTTGGGTTTAATCAGTAGTCTTTTAACATTAGGCCAGCGGTGATGAATGCCCCAAGTGGTTTGTTAATAAATGTAATTAAAGTGTCCGCCTCTTTATGTTCGGTCTTCTATGAACTATCGCAACCGTTGCCTTACATTCCTACTGTTTAACTTGTCTGCTAATTACTTAAATAAACGCAAAATGTAAACACATATCACACTCGATATTTGAATCTATTCCCCCAGTAAATCATGAAACTATGTATTAATGCCACTGAGGCGAAGTCGATGTTTGGTCCGCGCCGCATCATTGTCAGATGGTTATCTGATATACTACTGTAGTGCTTGTCTGTTCCGTTGAGATACGCCATCCTATTAACTTGATAACACCATGATTGCAGTCGTAACAGACACATCCCATGTAATGACCGGGTTTAAAATCTGCGTCACCTGTTACTGTCGTTACAGGGCTATCAAAACAGTGGTTGAAGTTCCGCTCCTCCTTGAATCACTAAACTTGGTTACGCAATGGAAAGACGGCAATATTATGATTAAAGAGAAGGCATTAGTGGCATGCTAGTCGAAGTTACATGCAAAAGGAAGACGATAAGGAACCTCTCCGATAAAACGGCTTGTAAACCAAATTGGCAACATGCTGATTTTTGAAGACTTTTGTGATAATGGAATGATAGGGTTACACTGCATATAGAAGGACTACTGGCAGAGACCGGTTGATCAAGTAGGATGTTAACTTCGTGGATTTAGACTTTTCGGAGCCTAACGATTTATACAACAACAGTAACTCAATGAAAAGTACAGCACTGTTGATTCGCAGATTGCATATATATGTATTCTACGTGCTTTTCCATAAACAACCAAATTTCTGGACTAGCAAGATACTTCCTCCTAATTAGTTTATTAATAACAAGGAATAAATCTTGGTGCACACCAACTCCGGTCAATCGGCCAAGCAATGTAGTTGGTCCATTAAGATTCTGGTGTCCAATTATCGAATCTTTTGTGTTCATCTCTCATTGGCTATCTAGCTCTTACACCGTATCTACTGTTCAGTCTGCTAGCAAAGTCCAATCAACGTTCGAATCCAAAACTCACTAGACCTTCCGTTTGATGATGTTGCACATGTAGGTAACGTTAGATATAAAATCCAAGGCCCAATACGATGGCCATCAAAACCTCTAACTTGATTTAAATGAAGGTAAGGGTGATATGAGTTAACCTCATCGGAAGGCATGATGAGGTATCGGAAAGATACACTCCAAAAACGCAACAACGTATACAAAATTGCCCATATATGAAGACGCAATCTTTCTTCCTGACTAGGTAACAAACATGTACCATACGCAGCTTGTGAATGCATTCACAGCTATCTTTGCCACGCTTAGTTTACATGTCTACCTATGGGCACCTCATGATACAGGCAACATTAATTGCTTTACTTGTGAAACTGGAAAACAAATAAAGTTGCCTTAGGCCACAACCGATGTAGAAAATACAATGAAATTAATCAATGTGTGTATAAACTTTGGTGACATTCCCTTGCTCTTATTATAGTTATTGCTGATGCTTTGTACTATAGAAGTGGCTGAAAGAATAGTTTCGGCCACATTTAGGTGAGTTTAGTATCTGGCTCTCTAGGCATGGCTTAGCGATCATGAGTACTGAGCACTTGGTTAAATAGATAGTAAACTGACAAAATGTGGCCACCGCAAAACGGTAGACAATTCTCGCATGTTTGATTCAAAGAGGAGTTCGTGCACGAGTGGCGATACAATTGGACAAGAGCACCAGTGTGTCAAGGACAGCGGATTGCAGTTTGTATGTTGACAATTTAGATGGGTCAAGTCAATTGGCAAGGAGCTGCTTTTCCAACATCCCGAAGCTGTCAAATCGTAACTATTAAGGTTGCACAGCAATGCTGAGAGTCGCATAAGGAATAAGATATTCATTCGTAATTTAAAATAATTCCTTCCTAGTGACTCCTGAAGGGTCCCCATCTACATGTTTTGATGATTGTTCCACAATCATTCTGAGCTTATTTTTACATGTACGAAACTCAAAGAATCGGAACCCACCAGCCGTGACAGCTGTTTACTTGCAATCATTCCGCAGAAGTAGGGTAAGTTTATCCTCAAATCTTTATTTACGGACGCTTCGTTGCCAGCCTAGCTTGCATTTCCAGTGCGAAGTAGTTAGTATCCCGGTTATTAGACCTTGGGCTAAAAGCAAATTCGGAGTAAGGTCCTTCCAACTACCACTTTGATCGCTTTATTCATTTATATTCTTACTAAACGCGCCTCACGGGTTTCGTGGCCGAACGTCATACCTGTGTTCGAGCGGTTGCCGTTGGAGACCCTAGAGACTGTTTCGACGTGTTATAAATATTTTCACAGTTTAATAGCTGAAAATTTCATCTTGGCCATGTACGCGTCTAGAAAGTGGAACTGCAGTTTCCTGTTGTTTCAAGCGTAAGTTTGCAATTAGCGTGCTTGTTGTTTTAAATTATCTAAAGAGAGAGTCAGGAGCAACCAACATGTTTAGTATCCCTTTTGTCGCGATCCACATTTCGGGGAATTGCCTTCCCTTCCCTAATTTCCCTGAGTCATTTGTTTCATTTTAGTCCTATCAAACTGCTGTCCTTTTTCATCAACATTCACTTCGACCATTGAGAACGTATAATGTTGCTTCCAGCTCCTCTAATTCTGCTGAAAATTGGCCACATTTGGTCCATGCAGTCTAAGATTGTATCGTATATAGATCGCACGAAACACGGCGAAGGATCAGCGTTACTGTCGGCACCCTTCAATACCGGCTTCAACCAACGCTACTAAAAACCATCTAATAAGTATGCAAGTTAATACCTACCAAATTTACCACGTTGACTGGTGTGGGGACATTTGCAATCAAAGTATCTAGTTCGGCAGCAAAATTAACACCATAATACCAACCTGATCTGCTGAAAGTTCATCCTAGTGAGAGACTTTCGTCATCTTACTCCTAGCAGCTTTGGGCTTCCCATGGTGCAGTTAATGGAAGCTCCATTTGGATTTGTTTAGTTCTAATCCACAGATTAACTGAAAGTTTCATCATTCCTCTGGCTATACCAATGTGCATTAGCAGAAATCAGTGACAGCAAATTTGAACTGACAGTCTGCGCGTCAAATGATCACTTTGTCTTTCTTTTCAGACGCGACAAATTCGGCAATTGTGTCCCGTGTCCTGTCGGGTTCGTCTACAACACATCCACTGGAACATGTGATGGTCAGTGGTTAAAATGCACTACTGTCCACATTTAGACAAGTTGTCATGTGCAAAATGCGAGATATCTTGCTGTCTAGCTCATTTGTTGGTCTAGTGTAAAATATCGGGTTTGACTGCATGCATTTAAACTGTCGAACCATCTCGTTTTTGATTGGTTATCATTGCGAACGGCCACAGGACACACCTGTCAAAACATAAACCATGGGTGACAAGCTCTGGGTCACCAACATCTACACCCACTTGCTCAAATCCAGCAAAAGCATCGAAGGACAAAAGTGATCAGGAGTCGGTTAACACATGAAATATTACTATAGCTGCAGGACCTGACACCCGTCTCCCTTGTAGCGGTTCGCAATCTTCCGAATATAGCCACCGAGATGACGGCATCGGGCATCTAGACGCAATGTCAACACCGGCATCGAAAAATTTAGTCCGGTCCAATCACAGAGAAGTAAACACCAGTATAAATATATATATATGCTCACATTGATCATCTCCTAGTAACGTAACTTTGGTTTCCCCACGTGCCGCTTCCCAATACTCAGCTGACCATATAATAGCTATTTCGGTATCCGCGTCGATTCCATACAGCTCACATGACCGAGCCACCTCAGGTGTCTCAGCAAAACTATGCAGTCCACTGCATGCATTCCACTTCAAGGCAACGCTTCCGTGTCAGCAAATCTGTCACCCCAACCGATGCGCAAAATCCACCTCAAACACTCTGATGGAACCGCTCCAGATATCGCACATTCCGCCGATATATCGTCCACGTTTCATTGCCGTATAGAAGAACGGTCAGCACCATGGATTTGTACACCATCAGCTCCGTGCCAATGGTAAGCTGATGATTGTTTCATCCGCGGTCTCTAGCTTCCCGAATGCCGCCGATGCTTTCGACACGCGAATACGCAGCTCACCGTGTAGCTGCTGAGCAGTCGACATCACACTCCCAACATAGCAGAAGGGGGAGGTGGTTTCCAATACGTCAGCACCAATGCTGATTCGCGGCAATATTGAAGATTGCACCTCCGGTGAAGGCTGAAAGAGCCCGACAGTTTTGTTTGTGTTGGTGGTGAGCCCGAATTTGGTCACTGTCGAAGCCAGAACACTAGTCATGTGCTTCAGCTCATCAACGTTATGTGCAAACAACGCACAGTCGTCAGCAAACAGCAACCTACGGATAGTCGTCTCACAGACTAGAGTTCTCTCACCGAAACGAAGGATGTACAGCAACCCACCATCAATACGGTGCTAAAAAGGAACACCGTAAGCACGAGCCGCATCAAAAGCACAAGACATCATGGCATGAAGAAAAATATTAAACGGAGCAGGAGCTAAGACACAGCCTTGCTTTACACTAGAGACAACTGCAAAGTCATCCGAGGTCTCTCCACTCAGCTGCACCCGCGCTCGCATACCACTGTGCAGACATTCAATTAAACTTACAAACTTACGCGGGCAACCAAACTTACCCAACACCAGCCACAGTGCCTCGCGGTTCACCGTATCAAATGCCTTGGTGAAGTCAACAAAAAGCGAGTACAACGGCTGGTGTCGTTCTCTGCACTTCTGCTGCAACTGACGAGCCGCAAACACCATTTCTATAGTGCTGCGACCCGAACGGAATCCACATTGCTCTTCCGCCACGTTCCGTTCCACAACCTGACTGACGAGGCGGTTGAGCAGGATTCAGGCAATCACCTTGCCCACACAACTCAGCAAGTTGATGCCACGATAATTCGTGCAACATTGCTTGCTCCCATTGCCCTTGTACAGTGGTATCATAAGCGCATCCTTCAGCTCAGGAGGCACCTCCTCCTCAATCTGTACGCGTTGCACCAAGTGGTGCAGCGCAGTCACAAACGCGGGTCCACCGAGTTTCCATACCTTAAGCAGCAGCCCGTCAATAAAAGCGCACTTGCAGTTTTGCAGCTGAGCAAGTGCCGTTTGCGTCTCATCCAGTGTCGGATTGTCCGCCAGACTCGCTTTAACATCATGTTGCTTGAGGCCATTCAGTGTAGGCCAGTCGATCTCTGAACGGTTGTTCAAGAGACAGTCAAAGAGGTTTTGCCAGATCTGCATTATGACTACAGTCTATGTGCAGGTAGCGCCTGAACTACCATCGATCAGTGTCCTCAGCGGCTCCAATCTCGGTCCATACACCGCCTTCAAGAACTCAAAGAATTCCTTGTGTTGTCGGCGTTCGGCGTAGCATTCCATCTGCTTCGCCTTCTCCGCCCACCATGCATTTTTTATGCGACGGAGCTCTCGGGTCAGTCGCCATCGAAGTTTGAGAAACTGACTACTCTTTCCCAAGTCACTGGGGTCTGCCACATGTGCAGCAAATGCTGCATTCTTCTCCAACACCAATGCGCCGATCGTCGCATTGTTCTCATAAAACCAATCAGGCCGGTTAAAGTTTGCGCGCCTGATGGTCTCCTTGGCAGCAGCTGTCACCTGGTCGCGAATGTGGTATCACAAGTCGCCCACTGGGGCTACGCAGTCCATATTACACAGGCGTGTATCCATCACCTCCTCCAGCTGAACACCTTTCGCCACAGAGCCGAGGGAGAGAATGTTAAATTTACGCCGATTCCCGGTGGGATTGCAATACATATATTCACGAAAATATATGTACAGTTTGATCTACACCAAGTTGTGATCAGTGCCACACTCAGCTCCACGCAGTACACGTGTCATGCGCACTTCACGCATATCACGCTGACGGACGATGACATAGTCGAGCAGGTGAGCGTGACCACTCCGTAGGTGCGTCCAAGTTGCCAAATCAATCGCACTCAGTGCAAACCGAGTGTTCGTGATCGTCAGGCCGTGAGTGGCACACAATGAAAGCAGCCTGTCACCGATCGCATTCGCTGAACCGATGTCATGCGGACTGATAACATCTGTCCACACCGATGTATCACTCCCAACGCGCGTGTTGAAATCACCCTGCAGAAATAGTTGATCGCTCCTCGGCACAGACCGTATCACGGAGGGTAGCTGAGTATAGAATTGATCACGCGCGTCATCAGGATAACTCATGGTCGAACCGTACGTGCTTATAAAGGTGGCAAACTTACATCTTCCCAGTCGTTGGCGAACAGTCATCAGTCGCCAGCTGGTGTCTGTTAGATCACCCACCAGCTGGCCATGGAGGCGATCGGATGTTGCAATTCCGACCCCATGATCAAGTGGCGTTGAGGAGGCTTTGCCTACCCAGTAGAATGTGTAGCCAACACTTGCTTCATGAAACTTAGCTTGCACAACGAGCGGAGTCTCACTGAGTGCCGCGATATCGATGTGGTAGCGCGCCAGTTCCATCGCAAACAGCCCAGTACGTCGCCCGGGGCCTCCACTAGACTTCTAATACAGCAGTGTGCGCACGTTCTAGTACCCGATGTTGATTGCTTTGTGCGCAGGCATACGATTGCACTGGTCGGCAATCGCACTCGAGGTGGCAGCTGTGCTACCGAGGTTTGCTTGAGGGACTTCACCCGGAGCTTTTGACTCGATAGCCTGACTCACAAGATAGTGGGTGAGTTGGAGGTTTGCTGGAGGGACTACAACCGGAGTCTTTGGCTCAATAGCTTGACCCACAAGACTGTGCTTAGCAGATCCAGCTCGGGAATGTGATTGCAGAGACAGATTGGGATCAGCTTGACGGCCATCACACGCAGCCTTGGAGGTACTTGAACGATTTATATATATGTTTTCCGACCGTATTCGGAAACACCTGCTACCACGGCTAGACGCGGGTTTGTTTTGGCGGGTTTGCATTAATTTGGCCAGGTGCTGCCTGGCTTGAGGGGCGGGCGGTAGCAAACCATTGAACAAGTTGTAATCTTGATTGCAGGTCAAGGGAATCGAAGTCGGTTGATCGGCATGCATGGCGTGATCTAATCACAAAGGCGGTTGATGAAGTGCGGGAGGAAAACCTCGTACATGCAGAGAAGAAGCGGCAATTGCGGAAGCGGCAAGCACCGATGGGTTGTACTCCATCGACATCGAGCGCATGATGCCGTAGCACATCCGGTCGCGAGTGCCTGAGTCAGGCAGGCCTAGTAAGCCATGAGAGATGCCACTCGGGACCACCACCGAAGCGACGACGGGTCCTGCGGAGAACGTAGGCAGAACCGGCGCAACGTTTGTATGTACACTGCATTCGATTTACTAACCGCGTGCTTACATGCTCAGTCTCTTTAGGTTAGGTGGGGTTTGCAAGTTCGTCCTAATGCTTTGCTTTCCCCTTACAAATGTCTACCAATACTCTCTTCTATAAACTTGCACACGTCGCTTAAGCCAATTGCAGTTAATTTCGATAACATTTTGTGTTTGTGACATTTCCGTCAAATATACTTTCTGACCTCGTGATATTATCTCGGATTTGGTTGTTAACAACTTATTTCATATGCTCATTAATTTAAGATTTATGGCACCGTTTCCTTATGCATTACTCGATTTATTTACTTTGTTATCTTTATCTCAAGTGATTGGCTGTTGATTGATATCACCGGTGTGGATGTGCTTGATGTGAATGTTGACAAGGTGCCTACCTGTCTATTACCCAATACCTAGTTCATACTGGCTCCAGGAGACAGTTGGTCGTTGCTGGAGGGGACGGGGTGCACGGTTCTTGTGGCCGTGCTAGGCTCAAAGAGCGGTTCCATGCACTCAGTGTGGAGTGGACTACAGTCCAGCCACCACCTTGTATGCGCTTGGTTGCCCAAATAGAGCGCGCTTGTGTTTGCCTGTGAAGGAGTGTGAGCCGGCTCCGTTGATGAAATATGGTTCCTATCCACATGCATCCGAGTCTTATTCCTTTTGATTTGCACTGGATATGGTGTGTGTGTTTGGTTGTGGGTGGCGTAGTGCAAGCCAGCCATGATCGTTCTGTAAGCGCAGGCGTCCTGTGGCTGGCCACAGTGACAGGCAAATCCGAAACCGGATGCCGCCAAGCATATATACATGCTTTCACATAGTGGAAACTGTTGGGCATTAAATGGCCGAGGCTAAGAAGTGCACAGTTTGTATCGAAAGATCACGGAACAGGAAGTCGAAGACGCTTAATACCATTATAAATATTCAGTAAAACAAACGCCTTTTATCATATTGTCTGACTATCTCCTGTAAGTTATAAGGTAAGCGAAATCAAGCCTCCTACAAATGTGTATACTCCGCTCAAAACAGTTTGGTTCGCCCTGCAGTACGCTGATTGTGCCTATAAACCCAGCCACGACATTTAGCACGGTAGCTTTCTTCGAACGTTCCTCTTTGCATCATCCCGCAGGACTACTAGGGTCTATTTTTCTAAATCAATACAAATCTTCACGAGACGCAACTGTTAACTCTTTCATCACTACCTTAACCTCCTCTATCTCCTAGCAGCTCAGTGAACAGCGACACTTATTGATCCTTACACGCTGGTAAAATACATGTGAGCCCATGCATTAAGCATCTTGGTGATTTTGGCAATGCACTTAGGTCTGTTCAAGCAACCTGTTATCGCATACTTATTAAGCTCAATTCCGAAAGCATCACTATCATGGGCAATTAATTAGGCATTACCATAGGCGATGATGTACAGATGCTTCAGCAGCGAAATTTGTACGCACTAAGTGCCGAATCACTCTTGCACTGCGTTTTGTGTGAGTGTTCCAGAGACTTAACACTAACGTACTTCAAGACTTGGTAAGTTGAATGTATCCGTTGTCCACCCATCAATCCAATATAGCACATGAAATCCCAGCTGGGCTCCGTGTATGCTGACTACCTGATTTTATCTTTTCTTATGGTCTTAAAAGTAGATAATTTACTCCGCCAAACCACTCAGGTTAACTCCATACCGGACTAATGTGTCAACTGGACACAAAGAAATGGCGCATGACTGAGCGAAATTATATTTATTTTTCTCATGCTTTACTGAACTCCATGCAATTTTCGGTGCTTACATCCAATTCATATTTTACACTGCTGTCATTCAGCAACGCATTCAACTCGATAGACGCTTAAACAGATGATTCGCATTACCGAGTTTGCAATTTTCACCCCACCGTCCTAGGGGAATTGCCAACTAACTTCAATTTTGCCCCTAAAATGTACTATACGTGGTTTATGCAGTGGAGGTAACACTTCGCGTTATTTCTGTTACCGGGGACTAATAGGCTTGAAAGTTGATGATACATTCTAATGTACCAAATGTGTGGATTAAGCCAAGCGCTAGGTTTTCTTATCTGTCACGTGATGACTCCTTATTCCTAGCTCCCCGTTGATATTATCTCGTTTTTGGGAACTTGTGCCAAAGTTGAATTTAACCCCCTGGGATACGTCCACTTTATCGCATACTCCCATAACTCTGCTCAGTTAAAAGCCAGTTTTTCGTCGGCAGCGCGGCCGACGTGAATGTGGCGAAACACGTGTCTTTTATTGACTGGATTCCTAAAATTCTTTGTGTTATATTTACTGCATCAGTGTTCCGCAGCTCCCAAACTACAACGCTGTTCCTTCTCTTTATCCTTCGCAGATGTAAACGAATGTGTGGATGGGAGTCAATGTAAGCCATGGGAGCGATGCGTCAATAAGCTTGGTTACTTTGTCTGCGAACAGAAAATCAATTGTGAGCATGGAACACGGATTAGTGCCAACGGAACCCACTGTGAAGGTAAGGTAAAGCTGTCCACAGGTGTGCAACCGGTTTCAACACTACTTGCTTTAAGACGTTGCGATTTGTAAGCAGTTTTAGTCACTGTGTGTCATGACTTTTAGCTGACTGTCTATCCGTGACCATGCTTCCCTGGTTGTTACAATTGGCAAGTCCTTCTGAAACAGGCTTCGCACCTCGTACTTATCTCTCGATAACCTAGACATCATTGTTAGGAGTTTTGGCTACTTGAATACACGCGGTGTTGCATTACCTGTACGTAACTATGTGTGCTATCTCTACTTCTTATCAATATATGGGTTTAAGAACGTATTATGACGCTTCCACGCACACATGCAACCCATCACTGTGCCACCCGAATTTTGAGTGTGATTGCTTGGCTGATAACTATTGAGAACGCCCAACTCAACCCTGAAGGGGCGGCTGGAATTGTGATGATAACCAGTGATAAACTTGTCTTCGCCTTTATGGCTGATCTGTAAGGTACTGCAGGCGCATCGGATCACTCGAATTTGGGATCTCATAGTTGGAAAGTCTAGAAAACAGTATTATAATTCCTGATCTACTTGGTTAGAAGAAGAAATCCTTTCATTCTTCCGCACTAAGAAGCTGATTTTCGGATCGTCATGCTCCCGGAAGCTCATATCCCCACATCGCAAAGGGGAACATGCAGCCGCTTCTTAACATGAATCATTGAGCCAACTAAAACGTGTGCTGGTATGACGATCCTCGCATTCGAGGCTATACCACACTGACAATTTCGGTTTTATTTAACAAATCGGGTGATTCTAGTCAGAATGCTATGCCGCATGGTAGTTTTTTACAGCCCGTCGTACTTGGCTTCCCTGGCAACATGTGTGATACCAGTGTGATGAGGCTGAGCGCTTGAGTCGTACGTAGGTGTAGCCCTATCAAACTTACTGCACCATTCACGCGCCACAAGATATGAAGTGGCACCCCAGGGATATCGGCTGCCAGCCGTATTATTAAACATATCTATAATTGGCACACTTTTGTTGTCACGACTAACATAGCAGCCTAAGTGACCTAGAAATCAAGGGCTGTTTTATATTAACATTTTTATCATTATCCTTAGTGTCCAATAAACAACACATCGGCTGATAGACTCATTGTAGACGAAAAGGATAAATTTCGTGTTTCAAATAGCGTATTGTTACTGCTATAAGAAGACGAAGATCGTCGCAAATTTCCTAAACAAAATAAAAACGCCAAATCTTTTCCCGAAGTTTGTAACCACTTGTGGCATTACGAAGGGCCATAAATTTTAGTACAAGCTTTTCCGTACAACACTGTTGAAGGTACAGCTGGTTATGGCAGCACGTTTGTCAGCCGCATTATAAATCCTGTTTATCCCACCTCAGATATCGACGATTGCATGGAAAAGTTGTTCAACTGTGACAAAAATGAAATTTGTGCAAACACCGATGGGTCGTACATGTGCATTCCATCACCCTGTACGCCAACGCAAGTGTGAGTTTCACTGGTGTGTTGAAATAAGAAATGCTAATGGATTTACGATTTCGTATTTTCTGAGTATCCTCCGTTTACGCACTGGAAAATTTTGTGCAAATTGGGTGAGGTGAATGCCATATTCAACCAGATTTAGGAGAAGAACGGCTTGTTGGCATTAGAATGAGTTGAGTGTTGTTCAACCTGTTTGATTCTGAACGCAAAAGCTTAACCTCAGTTCGGTTTATTGTCACCGTTTACACAGACCACGTGACACATGAAGTCAAACACGGAACAGCACCTCGGTCCTGAACGATCATATTGTACCTATTAAGAGATAATGCGTGTACAGTTCGTGAACTCAGCCCCCGCTCAATTACAACTGAAAAGCTTTCGTTTTGAATTAGTCAGTGGGCTGTGAGAGCGCGTGATTATATGTGGGACCTCAGTCCGCGACCAGTTATCTTGGATCAGCGCAACCCAATTCAGCAGCAAAGCAGGAGATAACCGACAGCTGTTGCTTAAACGACCTAGGGAATAACAGTGATCGCATATAGCACCTGATAGGTGACCTCAAAATAGTAGTGATTCCCGCTTGGTTGGATGAGTATTTTGAAGCCTACTTTTGTGATGAAATGCGACTTGGGGCAGGCAACCCCCATTAGCTTTCTGATCCCCACTTGTTTTGCTCGGAAAACGTGAGGTATGTATCGAATTGACGGAATCGCCTGGAACTGCGTGAGCAACGCATCTCCCTTGGCATAAACGCAAAAGCGATGCCGGAATCGTGAAGCGGTACGTATTGCAAACCAGACTATAAAGTAGGTCGCTGCACGCCTCAACAAACTTCTCTACAGTGAAATTACCAAACAACAGTTTAAGAGCTGTTTCAAATGGCCGGCTAGCTTGTTTCGAATTGATACGCGTATAGAAAACCGGCGCCTCGGTATACAGTGTTTTAGTATAAAACGCTAGCAAACTGAATCGTCACTAGGCTGAAGTGTCTCGCTTGAATGTGTTACACACCTGAGTTACAGCGGCATGAAGGTACCAACTAGGTGAGATCACTGGGAGTACGGTGGTTCACGTTGTTTAGATGTAATGACAAGGAGGTACACGCGCATTAATATTAAAACGGTGTAAAGTGCCACCCTGACTGCTAGTTGTAATGTGACAAGTACCAACTACACTCATATCAATGTTCATTGGATAAAGATGGTTAAAGAAGAGAGCTGTGACAATGTATTATCGCCGTAGGATGAATTCTTCCAGGCCATGTAAGTTTGCGTTTTACAAACCTTGAACGGAGCTAACAGCATAAGAACGGAGAATACACAATAAATTGAGCCGTAATAGAGATGAGCTCACAGCGCAAGACTTTTGTATGTCATTCACACTGTATTTCAACACAAAGTTACTAGGACATCATTCACGATTACTTCAACACTAGATATTAAACGTTTGTGGAGCCTTGTTTCCATCAACCAATTCATAATAAATGAGGAAATTCAATGCTGAAAATAGGAATTTTGATACCACGCTGCCAAATAGCAATACCCCGCCACCGTTGAAGGACAGAAAGGTTATCTGCTTGCATTAGACAAGATGGTTAACGTAAACGCGCACTCTAGGAAATGGTACCACATGGGCTAATATCTGATAAGATCCATAATGTTTCGCATAATAAAATTGTCGGCGGCTACGAATCCTTAGCGCTATTCGGACAACTATTTACGACCATATGACTATTGAATGTGCCGGATGTCCATGATGCTGAATGACTACGGGTTATGGCTTATGCACAATGAACCATGAACAATGAATGTTGGCTGGTTAAGAAGCGTTGCTTTACAAGTCCCGTTGGATAGTTGGTGGGAATATCGAAATAACAATAATGATAATAATGATAGTAAAACAGTTAGTACTTCAAATATAAAAATAAGGACTTATCGTTTGCTCCGCCGTAGTCCTGCAATCCGCTTAGATTCACAGCATCCGCAGTTAACAGCAAATAATTCCATGGTAAACTCCAGGTGTAGGATGGAGACGTAGTGCTAAGTGACAAAGTGTAAGTGGATGAGTGCGTCATCCAACCGTCTTTTAAATACTGTTAGTGTTGGTGCAGAGACGACTGATACTTGGAGAGCATTTCACGGGTGACAGACACGAATGGAAAAGAAATTTCTGTGGCAATCCAGACGGCTATACTGTACAGCTAGTTTCAATGTGTGGCCCCTCAGGGTTGTATTCGTACTGAGCCGCAGTAAAGGGCGGCACATATGATGTGGGTTTCGCAGTATCAAGTATGCAATAGGCAGATTGCTTCGTAATCTGCGATAGCTTCCACTGTATACCCCCAATCGTTGCAACCTCTCCTGGTATGAAAGCTTGCGCATTCCAATTATGTTCTTAGATGTCCGGCGTTGTGGCTGCTCCAGTGCATTAAGATCGTGTTTCAGCCATGGATGCCAGGCTTACATTTCGTATTCGACATGGGGGCGAACATACGCACTGGGCATTTGGCGAAATGTGGATCTGTTTATTTGTCCAAACGCCTGTCGCAACAGCCCGACCTGTTGGTTTCCAGTCTTCGAGGCCTTTTGGGATTGCCCGGAGCAACCCAAGTCATCTTGAACCAGGACACCCAAGTCACGTTCAACAGTTGATTGTTGCAGTACATTTGTTCCGAGCTGGTTGGAGTAGCTGTTCTGATGTCGGATGGGAAGCACCTTACATTTATTGACGTTGAAATGCAGTTAGTTTTGGATTGAGCTTTGCTATACCGTATCTAGGTCACTCTAAAGCACATGCTGGTCGGCGTTCGCCTGGATCCTGCGCCAAAATTTGATATCCTCGGTAAACATTGAGAAGTTTGAAGCGATTCCCTATGCAAGGTCATTAATAAACGCCAAAAACAAACATGGACCTAGAACTGAGCATTGCGGCACACCACACTCGACTTGTATGGGGTCCGATAAAGAGCTTCGAACTCTGACCACTAATTGCCGTTGAAGTAGAAACTTGACAATCCAGCTTCAAAGTCGGTCGCCAATCGAGTAATGCTGCAGCTTAGAGTGTAGTATCCGATGGTCTAGACGATCGAAAGCCTTGGATAGATCCAGGTAGATCACATCAACACCTTCTCCAGCGTCAACTGACTCGTTCCAACTACTGCATGTGATTAGTAAATTCCTTGTACATGACCGCTGTCGACGGAAACCGTGCTGCTCAGGCGTCATGACGCTACAGTTTTCCAGATAGCACACCAGTGCATCGGCAACTATGGATTCCATGAGCTTGGAGATCATAGGAAGAAGGGATACGGGGCGGTAGTTGAAGGGATCAGTTCTGCTTCCACCTTTGTGAATCGGGGTTAATATTCCAAGCTTCCACATATCGAGAAGTTGATTCTGGTCTGAGCAGCGCTGGAAAAACTGAGCTAAAGTTCCTGTCAGTTGGCTTACTGCTGCTTCCAGTGCCTCTGGACGAATGGTGTCGACACCCGGTGAGCTGTTTGGGTAGAGAAGTCAGCTTTTGCAGTAAGCCCCCGCGGTAATAGTGATGCGGGTTAGTCCTGGCGAACAGACAACAGGGTTTGGTAGATCGCTTGATGGCAAGACCCTTTGAAACGTGGGGCATATTGCATCTGCAGCGCGTTTGCTGTTTGCACAGCCGTTCTTGTTGGGCCATCAGCCGTCCTGAGTGGAGGAAATCCTTGCCTCAGCTTTCGTAGGCCATTGATGTGCTTGTACAGCAGTTTGTGGTTAGCACTGAAGGTATTTGCGATGTTCTGCTGATAGGCGGCTTTGTCTTCTCTTAGCAGTTGTGTGCAGTGGTTACGTTGGGCTACGTAGTTGTCCCAATTTTCTGGTGGTGGAGCTTCTCTGTACACTCGCCATGCTGCGTTGCGTACTGTCATCCATTTTCGAGGTCTGCTCCTAACGAAAGAAACTGATGTGCACTTATTGCAAACTTTTATCTCTGAAGACTCTGCAATCAGCTGACTGAACTTGTTGACGAACTCGAGCCAGGCGATTTACGGGGGTTCTTCGTCAAGGAACGACCAAGTTGTGGCGCTGACGAGCTGGGCTATTCGATCGTAGCTTTTGATGGTTCGCACATCCTCATGGTTCACATTCCAATATTCTGTATAGCAGACGAAGTCGAAACTGCTCACTGTGACCCAACGGACAGCCTAAAACCAACGCATCAATCATATGCTCCTCATTGGTAAGCACAAGATCCAGCACAGATGGCCTGTTACCAGTTCTGAACCGAGTGGGCAAAGTGATGTGATTGTAAAGAGGAACAGTAGTTACTAGATCTTGTAGATGGGTTTTAAATTGTTCTCCGATCGTGGCAGTGGTTTCTAAACAATGTACGTTGAAATCACCCATGACAAGAATGTGAGTGTACTTTTGTTGTAAATTGCATCTTAAAGCAGCCGCTAGGTGGTAGTCGGTTTCGGGTGTTGAGTTAGGGGCGCGGTACACCAGGACAATAAGGCAAACGTCCCTGTCTTCTAACTGCAAGCGATTACGTGTGCATGACTGATGGTGCTCCCGGCAATATTTCAATGAAATGTATTGACAGGACAGGAAATTCGTACTACTGCAGCTTTACCATGGTTCAAGCTTCATCTTTAAGGTGAGAAGGGTGTGTTATTTGATTGAATTTCCCTTTATGGAATCAAATGTTACTTTGCAATAGCAACTTGACAGTGCGATAAAAAGAGTTAGATGGAAGAACTTTGCCCCTTGCTTGAAATGTGCCATAGTTTGTACATCTGTTAAATCTGTTAAAGCACAGAACAGCGGTGGCTTCTGCAGCAAATTTGCAAAGAACTTTGACCTAAAAGTGGCTGCTTGTTACCCAGAACTTCTTTGTATATTTAGGCGAATAGAATACATGGTTATGAAATTAGCCTTGCTTATGTAGGATGTGAAGAATCCGTCATCGCAGGTATGTTTTTAAAGTAGAGCAAACCAAAATCTAACCAGTACTGCGCAATAGTAATCAACAAGTTTTTGAGAGTTTTCAGTCAGAAAGTATTTTAGTCACTACATGGATTCCTTGCACGAATTCGGGGGTTGAAATAAGTGTTTTGGCAGCGTTCCGTATAAGTTTGTCGCAAGGAAAACACTGAATTGGTATTGCAACACCTCCGGTTGGCGAAAACTCTTGCTTGGACGGATATTAGCACTACAGTAGCTTTGGCGTGGGACATTAGATGGCCAGGGTACGTGTTAATGCAATGTGAGCATCTAAATGCTGGCAATGCAAGCTGATGTTTACCCCACAGTTATTGCAAAAAACCAGGTACTTTCTGAAACCAATCCATATAACCATCTTGCCGTGCTACTTTTGCACCTCTTTCACCCTTCAACCAGTTGGTGAAAAGTGCACCTACTTATGCGGATGGAAGCGGGCATGAAACCGTTTTGATTCTGACTTGAGTTCACCCCCAGTTATGGTGGTTGCACAGCTACATTCTATCTATGGTTTTATTTAATCTCTTCCAGATTCAACTACGAGACAAAAATGTGTGTATGTGAAGACGGCTGGAAGGATGACAACGGAACGTGTGTTGGTGAGTAGCGTGTGATACGGTTTCTGAGACGCTCCCATATACTGAACTGGAATTTTATGCATCGGTCATCTGTTATTCTTCACAATGAAAGCGTAAAAGTTTGGGGAAGCATGACCGGTTTCCATCTCTATGTGCGTCAGGTTTTTCTTTTAATGATGTGTAGGAACCTGTAAAACAGGTGGTGTTGTTTTTGCTTGGAAAGAAGCTTTCCCAACCACCTCGCTAAGCAAAACAGTACATAAGAGGTATTTTGTTTATAGACAACTGGTGTTCTTTTATTGGAAGCGCTAAGAGTTTTAGAGCGCATTCAAAGTATTGCCATTTCCAAAAACGCGCACCTCTTCGTTTTGTTTTATCAGACAGGTAGAAAAGATACAATGGAATTGATAGTTTTTCCCCGAATTTTAGCAAACTGCACCCTGATGGTAAACTGACTCAGCAACAGCAATGTCTGCAATTTAACCCTAGTCGAAATTATCATGCAAGCTGTAAACCTAGTTTGTATTAAGCGGGCTTATCCCATTTTGCTCCTATTTTTCTCGACCGAGTGCTGTGACGATAAAACAATCAAGGTAAAGCAAAGTGTATTAACTTAATGAAAAGGAGGATGAGTATTGTTACCCTAAGCCACAAGTAAATCCTGACGCCCCCAATGCGTTTAATATAGCTCGTACGTTGCTTGGTAGGGTATGAAGGCTGAGATAGAGTTGATTATTAATTCAGAGAATCCGTGGTGAAACAATGTTCCTTTTCAAAGACAACACAATTATCCGGATTGTGGATATCAGTTGTTTCCTTACCACAAGTGGCTGCTTGCGATCAATATTGCAAATGCCGTCAGACTAAAAGATTTCCTCGGCATTTTGTGCTCAATTACAAAACGCGGACAAGTTCAGTAGCCCTGGGGGAAATTGCTCTGCTTTGGCTTAGACTTGCGGTAGCTCTGAAATACTTTTGAGTATGGAAATAAGCTTATGTTCTTCTCCGTATTTTTAGCTACAGACACTGATTTTCGAATACATTCTGTAACGCACCTTAATTTAAACACCTCTGGTGATAATTTTCGCGTATTTAGCACATTCGTTGCCCTCAGAGCTAGAAGATAGCAAGTACTATGTATAGAAATATTCCCTGGGCATGGCGCAGATAGTTGGTTCAAATGGAATAGTATGACAACTCCATATTTGTGAGTTAGCTTAATTTTCCTAAAGTCCCATTTTCGTGACCATTGCATTAGGCTGATTGACTGTGAACGAACATGAGTGGTTATGTTCCGCGAAATCCATTGGACTACTGCCATCCTGTACTACCCTGTTTCTTACTTGATGATGCAGGCGTTGCTCGATGGCACCAAAAAGTATTCTCGACTAGCGATTTATCGTGGATCTCTCGCTGCAACTCCATTCACTGCTTGTGTGGTTAGATGTGGTTCGCTAAAGCAGTGATTCCTTATGTTATGCTGTTCGCCAGCGATTGTTGAAGAGCACACTTAAGTCAGTGTACAAAACGCTCTACCTAAGTCTTGGATTGTAATTGAAAATTTTTGCATGAATATGACTGCTGGCCCAGTTCATGTATAAATTCAGTAAACAAGTTGTAGGGCACTACATTCCGCTGTCACATGGCTTCCAGCTTAGCCAAGTCTACCGTATAACTGCTGTACATTCGTGGTTAGGAGCTCCAACGATTCAAAGTTGTGTCGGCAATACTTCAAACCAATGGCCATATAGTTGTCAACAACAGGAAACTGTCCCCATTGTAAAGCCAGTGAAGTCTAGACGTACGTGTGACCATGGTTTGTCCGATGCTGGTCAGCGCTAAACAGTAGTTGATCAATAGAATTTATGTAATGCGTTAATAACTGTCGGCAATAATTTCGAAGCATCGCAGCACGATGGGTACTACGGATGGTAAATCTAGCTGTGAGTTCCTAGCGGTGTCTGTAAACCAACTACTATTTGGAGCGTTCGGGAATGCTCTAGCCCGATTAATCCCCTTCGTCGCGATCTAGTGTTCTCATCAACACATATTGCATCATCACTCAGCAAAAACAAACCCACTCTAAATAGCAGATCCATGAATCCGACTTGCCGGGGTTTTTGACACGGTGGACAATACTACATATTGATCATCATAGTTGTTATGCACATCAGGCCGACACTGCTGAAAACCGGAAGTGGCTTCGTGAGAAAGTCCATTTTACGGTCAAGGGTGGTTATTACCATGAATGAATGCTCCATATCACGCAATCTTAACAGTTTGGACTCTTAACTGACAAAATCTGGACGGCCTTGCCGGTGTCCACAGAAACTGGCAGATGAAAGGCAGATTGGAGCCGGCATACAGCATTAGGTATTGATCAGTAGTCAGGCTATACACCGCTAGTTGCGGCATCGGCTGGAGCGGTCGTAGTGCATGCCTACAGAATCACCTGTCACCGGCACAACACACCTTGACTGTCACAAACTTCGCTAGCCCCACAGCTCATAAGGTCAGGAATTACAACAATGTCACTGTCCTGCGAAGCCGACAAAGTGGAATAACTGTAAAACAGTGTTCAAAAACAAAACTGTACAGAAGACAAAACAGATGTCGCCTTCAGAGCGCAGCTATGAGAGGAACCGGGTTAAAACGAATGAAACATGCACTAGCAGATACAATCTTGCCAAAACTGCGACAGCCGAGGGCCGGCAACGAAAAATAAACAAAAAATGTAGCACGAACAACCTACACAAGGTGCTCCTTTGTCCGGATAACAATTGACCAAATATATATTGGATCAGAGATAAATTAATAGAAGCCAGACCTTTACAAAATACTCTTGCCAACGCTAATTACATTTAAAAAACCTCGAATGACCGTGACGACATAATTCCAATTTACTACGTTTGATTCATAGCACGAAATATCACGGAATTGCCTAACCTACCTCTCAGTTTAACACAATAATATGGCCGTTCAGCAAAGTAATGTGACAGATAGTTAATAAGGAAACGAACAACAACAGGTAGATAACGGAGGCATATAGCTATCTTCCGGGGATGTGATAACATACCATCTCCCTTCTACCGTGTACAAATTTGCCCTGATCGAGCCTTCATCATTACCTCTGCAAAACACATACCATTTGTTGCCAGATATCAACGAGTGCGTCGAGAATCCACAGATCTGTCCAGATGATCGGACATGCGTCAATCACGATGGAGGGTACCGTTGTGTCAAATTCGATGAATGTCCTCCAGGTTTCCATCGACATGTCCCGTTCGGCCCTTGTGTGGGTGAGTGTCATCTATTCTTCAACAGCCTAAGCATATATAACTCCCTCGGTAAATCGTTGACGCTCAAGATTTTAGCACATTTTTTATCCCGAAGCAATTGAATTAGTGCTTGCGTTTGACGTCTATCTCTTGCGAACAGTGAGACTCCAAGATTGCAGCAGGTCTCGTTGTTTTTCAAACAAAAGCGAACTAGTTGATTTTTTCCTGCCAATCGAACTGGTATGGAATGCGTTTCGAGCAGGCGAGTTGATAAATATGTACTGCGAACGTCAGTTGAATTTGCATGAAACGCGGAATTGTTTTCTCATTGGAAGGTATTGCTAACATACTGCGACGATTTGAACAATTTTGCCTTCAACTGATACTTGTACTTGATTTGTTGCTTGTATGAACGCGACTGTCTCACATGTCTGTCAGCTGATCAAAGTTGACTGACGAAAGTAAAAAAAATAATCGCTCCTTGAGGATTGTTACCAGTGAAGTTCGGGAAGTAGTTAAGGTGTTTATTCGTTTGCACCACTTTTCTTAGGGTTGTGCTTTGGACCTTGCTTGGAAATGTCCCTAGGTTATGTCATAAGCTTACAAGTAAACTGCTTTGTGTACTGGGATAAAGTTCGACAAGGGTTGTAACAAGCTATTATTTAGAAGATGATCAATACTCCGTGGGATAAGAATCTTGCTGGAAAGGGTTATAAGGAACGAAGGAAAGTCAAATATATCTCTGTATGTTATTTGAGGCTCTATAACCTCCACAAAGTTAAGCTGGATGATTTCTACACTATAGTTGCTGATAGCCTTCATTGAGTAATGTTATATGTAACATACACGGCCTAAGATTTGGTGTTTTGGTTACTGATAACGCGGCTTTTGTTGGTTGGCTGATCCGCGACTTTCCCCGAAAGTGGATGTATAGGCTGTGCCTTAAGCCCATGAAAGGGTGCATAAGAATATTACAGTTGTCTAGTTTCAACCGCAACATAATCTACAATGATAAAGTAGTTGTCTTAAGAAGTTATTTTGCAGAGTAATGTGGCTATCCGATCCAGAACTAAATGTGAATTGTGGAAAATGCACTCCCGAATGACTTATTAAGGGCACCAATTAAATGCATCGTACTAATGCAGAAACTTGTTGCACTAAAGTGGAAGGTTACGTTAAAAATTGAATTCGCGGAACTATCCCAAGATATGACTGTTAAAGTTATACTTCCACATCTTAAACACAACAGCAAAGTGTTAAGAGACATACTACCTTAGCTGAGTTCAAAGAAGGGGTATTTACTTCTAATTCAACATCGTCTATTTGAGGTCTACTGCCACTTACTGACAGCACGCTGATGATGTGCGAGTGGTACTCACGTAAGCCGCGCTGCACCGGTTCTTCGAAATGAAGTGTTGAAACTATTTCATCAATGTTGGCTCCCATGCTGATCTCTGTCCTCTCCGGAGGATGTTCGTTGATTTCCCGTCGCTGTATAAAGCTGCACCCAGTGTTTTGACCCAATCCTTGCTGTTATCGCATATATCAAAATGGTCAGTGTCACACCGATAACTGCACAAATATGTCTGTCAATACCACAATGACCTTAGACTTTCAGACGCGTGGGTCACAGGATTCGCTGGGATTGGTTCTCTATACTGCTTAGCAGAGATACTCATGACAGTCAAGAGTGGAGAGTGTAGTAGAAAATATTTGTCAACTACGCCTCCTGTATGGTGGAAGTTATCAAGGAGCTCCAACAGAATTCTGACAGGCTGTGGCCAGATCTCAACGTTTCGCTTAATTCTGTAGAATCCTGAATTTGACCTGTACAAAAGGAACAGCCAAAGTGGACATCGCACCTACAGTAATATGACCTGACGAATAGGTTTAGCTATATCCAACTACATTAGGATCAGTCCCATCACTTTTCTATCATTCTGAATGCACCTTAAGCCAGTTTACATATATTGAAACTAGGCTGTAGACCAGCTCATAGGGTGAATGCCGTTCGGTTTATCAAAGTTGTTCGCCACAAAACAGTAAATAGTGAACAAATGGGGATGAGCTTCATTTAACTCAGCAAATAACCTGTGAACAACGGTTACCGTCCCTTTGCGTCGCTGGTCAAAACTATGCACCACACTAGCAGGATCCGATAGAAGAACTGTCTACTAATTGCCTGTCTAGATGCATATTTTGACTTAATCTTATCTGTCATTGACAAGTCATTCAAAACCATGATACTTTTACACACCACGGTTATTCCAGATGGGATTTTCACGTGATTCTTCAATGGTTGCAAGCTAGGATCCCGAGTAAACAATTACTTTGTAGCAAACGGAAGTTACTCGCAGCGGTTTACACTTTAGTGGAGATGTTCGTCTATCATTAAATCTTATCCAACAGTGGAGCTATTTCTTTTCCCACAACTGTGATTGCCACTACTGATAAGGCTGTTTTAATAGTTTAACTAGAAATCTAACCAGCTTGAATAGCTTACCCATGTGAATTGCATAGAAAGTTAGGGGAACTCGAATGTTTTAACTTTATTCTATAGCAAATTAAACGCCCACTACAAATCAGCAAGGGCATTTGATGAACTTTGGGTTCTCTATCGACCCAGTGCGTATTTTCCTACCTTGTAAAGAGCTAGAGTTCACCAGCTTACTCTTTTTAGTGTACTCGAGCTTACGGCCACGGTGGTGTTGACATTCAATGTAACCAAGTCACCAGTGTCGCTCACGCGGGGCTAAAACCGCATTTTGGAGTCCATCGTCGGGTCGAGGGAAGTTGCATTACTGATAGGACCGGAAGTGACGAAGGGGCCAGGGATCTTATGAATGTTCGTGGTCATCTAGCAGGACTAATCTGTTATGAATTTAATCTAATACTTGGCTTCGTTGCAGATACTTATATAGTTACTCTCAACCAACCTGTCGCACATCTGGGGTAAAAATTTTCAGGGCAGGGTTGCTTCATTTTGAAGTCCGTTGGCAACAAACTTTTCGCAAAATGAATGCCTACTACTTATACGTCACTGTGGTACTTTTTAAATTAGGCCAACTATCGTCTTGATTTCATATCCCAGCAATAACCTTTAATTTGCAAGTTCCAAGCGAAGAACTCCAACGTAAAATCCACATACATACTTATCTTTACACAGATCGATACGTTGCTCAAGTGTGGCAGTTAAGCTCAGAGTTGGTGCACATAAGAATACACCTGTTGCCCACTTCTAAGATACACACTTTTCTTCAATTGTGTGAGCATTCTAACCAGTCAAAGTAGTTTTTCGTTACCATTCTCCTTGCTGCTACTACCGTTTATTCTCAGCTCAAGGCCCATTTAGCCACAACCGTCATCACTAAACTCTGCCTATTTTTGTCCACAAATGCCATACAGCACAATTTGTCCATCTGTAATGCACAATATCGACCATATGTTAATCTGTGTGACGTATGCTATGAGCCATCATGAGAGCAACTACCGGTAAGCGATCGCGAAGTGAATTAAAACGTAAGTGACTAAGTGAGCATGTGTGTGCGTGCGCCAGTGAGTGAGTGAGTGCGTGAGCGTGAGAGGCTTGAAGGTGGCTGGATAGGAAGAATACGGGATTTCTTATGAGTATGGAGAAGTTGTGGTGAAAACTTACTGATCCGTCCCCAAAGATCGCAAACCAGATAATAAAGTTAGTAATCTGGAGCGGAATCAGACGGCCGTTTTCGCCCGACTGGAGATTATCAGTGATGTGCATTTTCCGGCTATACCGCGAACCGAACCTATGTCTGCTACAGATTGCACTACTAAAGCACAGATTATACCACTCAGCCACGGTTACCGTTGGTAGACCGTCATACCCCGTAATCTAACTGGGATATACTGTTGTTTACCATCCGTCTTCTGTCTTTCCAAATTCTTGTACTAACTGACTTGTGAGCTGTTGATAGGAATCAGGAAATGTCAATAAAAACCCCTTAGTCATAAGTAGTTACAGCTAACCCTCATAGTCTTCGGATGTCATACATGTGTAGCTGCTGTGTAGTGAAGTCAAGACTTCTGGAGACCAGTGACAGTCCTTAGCAATGGTAGTAATCTACATGACAGTGAACGATTGATAGCGCTAGACTCCAGTTAGTTTGCGATTTATAATGGTCTGCAACCAGTGTCCGTGGCTGAGTGGCATAAGCAACTGGTTACTAAAGCAACCTGTGATCGGTCACAAGCACAGTTCCTCATGGGACCGAAGAATAAGGGGAATGTTGGGTGGGGATGGATTGAGTGAAGTCGAATGGGTGTCTAAGTGTGAGAATTAATGTACTTGCTTTGATGAATATTTATGTGTATGAAGAAATATTTTAATACAGGTATCTGTATGTAGTAGATGGCTTGAACATGAGTCAGTGTGTCCAGATAAACAAACGAATGTGTACACCTGCTGGATGGTTGAATCAGTAACTGAATTTGAAAGAACTTGGACAAATGGACAAGGAAATCCAACTCTTTTGTGCAATCGTTTCTTTTACTTCGCTCCTAACAAATCGAAGAATGTATGATTAGCAGACAATAACTCGTATTTATTTATCTCCAGCCAACAGAAGATTCAACAGAAGTGTCAAAGTTGCGGTAATTGAATAAACATAAAAGAATCGAAAGACGTAGATTATGAGATGACGCCGTCATTTCATGTGTTCTTATCGATCACAAAAACATGCATCATTGGAACATAAACGGCGATCAAACATAACAAAACGCATGGGCTACTACGGTAGGCTTAGAGCCACTGTCATCTGCTTTTGAATTCACAGCGGTGCTCGTTCACGATCGATAACGATGGCCTCCAATAGCCTAAAGCTTGTAATGTAATCTCAGCAGTCTAGCAACTAGACATAGAGCCAGCAAAGCCATGGAGATCAGTGGATAGAAGACAGTCATTGCGTCATAATCATCGTGGCATGCTAGTTGAAGGTAGGCAACACACTTAAGCTAATATGCCGCAAGAAGAATGGAATATTTTGCCA